GTCCACTACAGTCGACGGCCACAGGTGGACGCGCACGGCCCGGCGTCCACTACAGTCGACAGCCACAGGTGAACGCGCACAGCAACTTTAGCCGATAGCCGTGATATGACTTTTCTAATTTTTCATGTATCAAGATAAAATTATGAACCTTTAAAAATCACGTAATGAAAACACACATGTCTATGTTACCTATTCTGATTCACGTTACGAGCAGAGCCGCCTGTAAAGTGAAACAAGCTCTCGGTGCTCTCGAGCTTTCCTTGTCGCACAAGAGCAAGACGGACGCGTCGTCCATGCGCAGCACAGACCGCCCGGCGGACCGCGAGTGCCGGCTGTGGGCGAGGGGTTGCGGCCGGCGGGCGCCGAACGGAAGTGGTTAACACGGGAGTGGAAAGTCCCGAGCCAGGTAGGGGAGTTGAGGCTGTCCCGGAGTGGCGGGCGGGGGGAGACCCTCTGCAGGTCCCAGTTGACCCACCTTCCCCTGTGGCTTAAAGGAAAGTCTCTCGGGCCCCCATGTGGGGGCTGAGAGGGACAAGGGCTCCAGATCCAGCCAACAGCCGGAGAGACACACACCGGGGAGGCCCCCAGGGTGGGCAGGTGTGAATGAGGAACAGAACCCAGCCGATGCACAGGACAGAGCCTGGCAGGTTTGCACCGCCGAGCCCTTGGGAATGGGCCAGGTGAGCGGGACACTACGGCGACACGAGGGCCTGTCGCCCGGGATTCCGCAGGACGGCCCCGGAGCTGCACCCGCAGGCCGCAGCAGGTGGACCGCATCTGAGAGCTGCTACTGCAGGGGTGCGGCCAGGTGCTCAGCCACACCTGGGAGGACTTAGATCCTCGCCTGTAACCGGACGCAGACTCCAGAGACGCTCGCTGTGGGGGACTCTGCCTCCAGCAGGCCTGAGGAGGGGGGTGTGGAGAGGGGGTGGCCTGCTTAACCACCCCGGCACGGCGCTCACGGCCGCGACCCCTCGCCCACAGCCGGCACTCACGGTCCACACGGCGGTCTGTGCCGTGCATGGACGACGCGTCCGTCTTGCCCTTGTGCGATGAGGAAAG